TATGACAATTACGCACGCAGATCGACAGAAAGTGAGCAATTAAGTAGCTGCCATGTCGAGGAAAACATGAAATACTATCTTGTTCTATTTAATTAAAAATCATCCATTGGGAAGGGTGATGCTTATTTGTAAATTAAATTGACCGGCATCCTGTCAAGAACCAACCTCAACAGCCCAGGCTATGCCAATTGATCCTGCCTAAGAAAAAAATTTTCACTTGAGTATGCGCTATTTTAGGCCAGGTTTGATTTGATTACGAAAGTTCGTATAAATCAGAGTGAACAATTGTGATCACTCCTTTTTTTATGATATTCTTTGCCTGCATCACAGTGCTGAGAGTAAACAATGTTGGTTATGAAAACAAGCATTGTGACTGCCGCAGTGTTTTAACAAAAAGTAGACTGAAAGGACAGTCCTAAAACTTTCGTGACATTTTGAAAATACTATTGCTTTTAGCTAAGTTGCGTCATTATCATATACAGGGTGCAACCGTAAGGACTAACACATTTGGCGCGTACATACCTGAAATTGGGTACGCAAGCATAGTTCTGCAAGAAGTATTACGACTACGTAAAATCCCGTAAGGACGCCCCCTCCCGAGAGATCGCCCATCCCGTTGCTCTGGCTACATATCTGTAACATAAAAATTCCGAAACATCGCCATCGTTTCCCCCCTCCCCCCTTCGATTCCCGTTGAACGTCAAGCGATATCCGACAGGAATAGCGCATCAACGGCGCGATCTGCGGTACCGGTACGTCCGAGAAGCGATATCTGCAATATGCGCGCATGATATCGGCTCCCGTAACACGCGAGTTGTTCCCGCGTGTATATGGCATCGTGAAATGCGAATCTGATGCGTTCGCGATTTGCGGTATCCGTTCCCGAGTTTGTAACGGATTTCAGTGTTTGTGTCCGCAATCTGCGCGCGCGATATCGATTCTTAGCTGTAACACGCGCGAGTTGTTTCCGCGCGTATATTGCAACTTGAATGCTGCGTCTGCGGTATCCGTTCTTGTGACACAGGAGACTGCAGCGAATTCCCGCGTGTTTATCACATCGTAAAATGCGAATTTTTCCTGCCTGCGATATGCGGTATCAGTTCCCGCGTCATGGGGTTTATAGCGGGTGCACCAGTGCTTATCATTAATTTTCAATACAGTTTTGCTGTGGCATCCCTAAAGATAGCCCACCCCATGTTTTTCACCATTATCTCTTCATTTTGGGGTAAACGTTCTTACGGGATTTTACTTTTTCTCTTTTTTTTCTAGCTCAAGGCAGAGATGATAAAATATAAAAAATAGAGCAAAACCAGAGGCTGTACATTTCCTGCACCCTATACCGGATGTTCGTCGTCCTCACTGGTTTGTGAGCTTGCTCCCAGGTGAGCATTGTTAATAGATGTCATTAAAAGTATTAATTATCGCAATCACCTTGCTCATCGCCAGCCTCTGCCATTGATATTTAGCATTTTTGCGTTCAGCAAGCCACCTGGGAGCGAGCTCATAAACAAGTGTGCAGACGATAAACCGGCTGGTATAAGACACAGAAAATACACGGCTTCCGATGTCGCTTTATTTATAACAGTTCACTACCGCAGACTTCAGCTCTAAAACAATATGGGCACAAAACATCTCGCGAAGCTATGTTCCAGTGCCCAATTTCAAGTGTGTATATATGGAATTCAAATTTTACAAAGCGTGCCAAATATGTTGGTCCTTACGGCCGCACCCTGTATATTGTAAAGCGTATTTCGTAAACTATATTTCAATATATACATGGCGACAATGTCCCTTTTCTGTGATTTTATGCGCTGCAATTGATTGTTCAAAAGCTAGTTGCGATGCAAAGTTGTACCAATCACGGGTATCTAAGGCGACCTACCAGACTTCATATAACCTTTCGACTGAGGTAAAATATATGTGACTGAGGTAAACAAATGGATGTTAGTGGTACAAAACATGATGTTTTGTATGTTAATCTAGATTTTATTGTACTGTTGACATCAAAATTAAATAACGCAATTTCTTATCTTCGGTACCTCAAAATGAAAGTGAATTGTACGAACGATAAACAAGCTGCCGGAAACGGGGCGAATTGGCAAAACAATGCGCAAAATTCATTCTCAATTTAGCGGTGCAAACCGGTTCAAACCGGTTCGAACCACTTTGAACCAATATATTTGCGCCCCGGAACTGAGCTGGAATTGTACTGAAACCCGTAAAACTGAACTCAAACCGAAGCGATAAAAATTTTGGTTCAACACCCTGGCTAGGTACTGCACTTCGTGCCCCCGAAACCGGCCACCCAACTTCAAAATCGCACTCAACAGCAAACAGTCCCTGGAGGTCACTGGCCAGTCTCTTCGCTTCCATCAATGGCTGCCTGAACAGCCACTAGATTGCACCTTTTCTTTTTGTATTTGCACACTAAATTATGAATATTGGAAAATCTTTTGGCATGTTACCATGTTCCCAGGTATCAGTTTTAGGTGCCCTAAAGTGGCTCATGTGAACAACGAGTAGAGGCCCCCATGGAACCTGTGGGATGGCCACCTTGCGTTGCTGGGGGTGTGAAGTATCCACTGTGGTCACATCCAATCCAATCCAATCTAACCGGATGTCAACCTGGACCACTTACCTGAAGAAAGAGAACTCAACCTCCCAATCTTTCTTATGGTTTCAAGAAACACCTTGTACATTCATTCTTTTCTTTTTTTTAACTTTGATTGTTACAAGAACCCCAAAGTATGACACTAAGCAAAGCAGACCGCGTGTTCATCGTTGCTCTACTTCTTGTTGTAAGGCCTTCCAATTCAAAACCACAACAAATTGAAACAAACACAAGCAGGCAGAATGATTTGCCTCAAACTAGATCACTGCCAAAACTTGGAAAATAGGCAAGTAGAAACATACTTATAAAATAACTTGACAGAATTTCATGACACAGATAGTATATGAACATTTGGTTATGACAATTAAGTTGCAGAAATTGTAAGAGTCAAACAAAAGTACTATAATTAGTTAGATTTACCTTGGTATCATTATTCATGTCAGAATATCAGATGAATTATGTGAAGACGTCATAGATGGATATTATGTAGCATAAATAACAATGGGTATATCCTGAAACATATATGACACAGGAGCTATTGTGTAATAATAAAACTAACATATAAATTGGTGCAGTTAATAATCCCATTAAAGAACAAAAGAATGAAGGCATTTGGTGACTCATTGGCAGCCTTTATTGTGACCGTAAAAGAGAAAACACTCAACAGTACCTGAAACATAGGAGGGCAGAAAACTTCATGCAAACAGAAACAGAATTATAAAAACCTGTCAATGAAAAACAAGTAGCAATGAAGCAATCACACAAAAAACAATACTCAACATGCCAGAAAGAAAGAAGAACTGAAAAGATAACCCAATGAACAAACACACCTTAGAGCATGGTATCATTCTGTCCTACTATGAAACAGCTCATAAGTGAAATTTCATGAACAGGCATTGAGAAACTGAGAAATCAGTTCGGCCCTATATGTGCAATGTTATCTCACCGCTGCAGAGAGGGACATTTGACCAGTATGAATGGTAAGCTGACATATTTAAGGTGCATCATGTGGTATTCCTTCTTGCACAAACACACACCAGTATAATGTACATCAACATCATCATCATCAGAATTATGATGATGACGATGGCAATCATCCTTGAATTCTGCCGTACGCACCCTCACTCCACGTACTGCGAGCCTTGGTGCATTGATACCCTCGACTCCCAATACAGTCGAGTGTACTAATTCATTAGGAACTGCCTTTGGCATTCCCTAATTAAAGGAGAAGAGGCATAAAATTTTTGGGTCGTGTTTCTTAATTCATATAACACGTATGGCATCACTAATCATGGAACACAGCCCAGAACATGCCACTATTCTACGACTAGATTCTTATCGAGTATCCCCCGTGTAACATCCAGAAACGGGGCTTTAAGGTATATATATATAAATAAATAAATAACATCTTGAGGTGATGTCCTTGACCAGGGAGTACAACAATGCCAACGACCGCCATACCTGGACTTTCTCGTCTGTCACAACATACCGAGATCTCGGCCCCAGTGGTCCAAATCAAAACCGCCGACTAGAAATAACGTAATATTAATTCAGCGTATCAGCCTATCCTACGTCCCGTTCCACAACAAGTAAAACGAAATGTAACTCCAAACTTTTTTTGTCCCTGCACCTTCAAAGGGGCGGTGCAACGATTTTCGGACTTTGGGCAATTGATTGCAGGAATCGCTTTACGACACCTGTAAAGTGGATAAAAACATTTTTTTTCTTGCGCAAGCTAGTTTTTGTTTTAAAAAAATAAATAAACAAATCGGAGGTCGGAATTAACTCGCATTGTCTTTCGAGTGAGATGCGCAGCGACTTCACTAGGAGTACCATGTCCAGCTCCAGCTTCGATGCACTAAGCCCTCCCTCCGCAACTGTCGACATTTCAAGGTCCGATACGGCTACGATAGAGCACCACACCCCGTTAGTGTCGCCGTAGGTTGCAGTGAGCGATCGAGACAAAACACAATTTACCACAGGAAGGATGAGGAGGGTAGCAACGCAGGAGAAACGGCTTCGTTGACTTTTGACAAATGGCACCCCGAAAACTCGTGTACTCCCAATGACGTAACACTGTAGTTTCGACGACTGCCGCAGGCAGCTGTAGATCGGAAAAAACAAGAGAGTTTTTTCCGTTGCGACTACGCGGCGAAGTGGAAGTATTTCGGGGGAAGGTGGCACGCTTTCTCTCGCTCATGCCGAGACAAATGATATGCTACCTACAAGCTGCAAATTCTTTCTACCCGAAAATCTTTTTCCCTTTGACACAAATGTTACAGACGGTCTGACCCTCTTCAACGACTCACCGACGGTTACTTTACGCGGCCCTAACCACTTTTCTGGAACGCTTCGGTCCTCTGCGACGAGAGAAAAAGAGACCGCTCACCAGCCCTACGTCTTCGGTCGGCTCGAGCAGGATCCGCTTGTGCAAGAGGTCGTCTGCAAACACCTCCCCGGAAGGATCGGACGCCGACGACGGGGCGCAGAGGGCGAGGTAGAAGCGGACGAAGCGCGTGCGCTGAAGCACCAGCCCATGCACCACGAAGCACAAGAAGACCACCAACACCGAGACTGAGAAGAAGAGAAGCGTGTTGACGCGCTCGTCGCTGAGCAGCGCCTTCGTCAGGATGCGGCTGGCCGAGACCAACACGCCGGCGGCACCTGGAAGCAAACGGTTCCACCCCGCACCGAGTTACCGGAAGCCGCCACCATCTTGCGGTGACGCCGGGTGGCGAAAAATGCCGCACTTCGTCTTTTGGTTTGCGGGATCGGCGGATGGAACCCTCGAGAGCTGGGATTCTCAGACCTTTCAATCGCGAGGAACTTTACCTTTGTATTGATGAGCTGAAGAAGTACAGGAGCCTGCAAGACATTGTAAACTATAATGCACGTATGGGTGGGTACCTTTGGATGATAGCTAGGTGCATTAGGTGGCTCAAATATGCTAAAAGAGTGCTTAAAAGGGCACTGACCACCAAAAGGTCGTAATTCTTTTGTTTTCTGAAATGGTGGAAATTGTAGTCATAGATATGCAAAAAAATACTGCAATGCAAAAAAAAAAAAAAACACTTTCCCCCGCACGCTTGTTTTTATTTTTGGCGCTTTTCTCTTTTTTCCCCTCCTCCCTTCTTTTTATTTGTGACGTAATCGACTACATAATGTTTAGAAGCTGTGTAAGCGACATTTCAATATCTAAAAATGGTATTAGTAAGATATGTTTTTTAACACAGTTGCGAACATACTGCACCCCCTTTCGAAATATTGAAAATTGGAGTTCGGATATAACGTCGTCCCCTGGCTTCTATACTCCCTCGGAAAACATGCTGGCGCTCGGCACAACCGACACACGGAAGGCCCGCCAGACTTTCTCGGCAATTTTGGGGTTGCTGGCGGGTTGTTCCTTAGCTTTCCCTAGATCAACACGAATTGCTGACATTGGGTCCGGCTCCAAACAAGCGAGCAACTCGGAGCAATTCAAAGACGTTTGAAGCGGCAGCAGCTAATCAGGGACGGAATATTTTCACATGATACTCCGTGCCAGTGATGATGACAACTGAAAACTTAATTGAAAGTGATCGTTTTATTTTAACAAACCTTTTTAGAAAGATGAGTTAGTACTGTTAAATGGGTACTCCACCGGTTTTTTCATTGTCTCCGATTTGCTTGAAATTTTGCTGAACTAACCAACAAATATTGCTAAAATAGTATCCCAAATATTAGGTCAAAATATTGTTTTTTTGCGAACTTATTGAATTTACAGTTTTGGTCTTCACCATGTTTTCCAAACTGAAAGTCTCTACTGGCAACAACAACAAAGTGACGTCAGTGGAAGGCAGGGGTTAACTTTTTGGACTACAGAAGTTGTTCCCAACGGATTTAAAGCAGTTGCTTGTTGTCAAATGAGTGCTTTGGAAGCTCGCTCCGGTATCCGCGCTCCAGCACGGAACAAATGATTGGCATATTCTATTTTTTAGACTACTTGCTCGACTGACAAGCTTGCCTGCCACTGACGTCACGGCACTGAAAAGTGCGCGAATATTTGAATATTGGTTTTTGCACCATTTTCATTTGCCGATTTCACAATACCTATTATGAATTTCGCGATGCTAAATAGCATACCGGAAAGGCTAAAGGCCGGGGAGTCAGAAAATATAGTTAGTTGAGGTAGCTCAAAAAATCGGCGGAGTACCCCTTTAACGCCATTTAAATGTATAAAAAAGTGAAAGCCGCTTACAACTCCCTGTAACGCCGAATTAGAGCGCAGCTCTTGAGGAGGAGGGAAGGGCACTGGGGGGGGTTAAACTAACCAGGGGGGGTCACGTGACCTTGGGGGGTCACGTGACTTTGGGGGGTCACGTGACCTTGGGGGTCACGTGACCCCCAATGCCGACGATGTCATCACTGACGTCACTGATGACATCATCAGTGACGATGACGATGCGGGTACCGATGACGTCATTAGTGACGTCGCTGATGACTTCACTAGTGATGATGACGATGATGATGCGAATGTCGGTGACGTCATCAGTGACGTCGCTGATGACGTCATCAGTGATGATGACGATGACGATGCGGATGTCGGTAACGTCATCAGTGATGATGACGAAGACGATGCGTTTGCCGGTGACGTCATCAGTGATGATGACGATGACGATGCGGATGCCGGTGATGTCATCAGTGATGATGACGATGACGATGTGGATGCCGGTGACGACGTCAGTGACGTCACTGATGATGTCATCAGTGCTGATGACGATGACGATGCTGATGTCGGTAACGTCATCAGTGATGATGACGATGACGATGCAGATGCCGGTAACGTCATCAGTGATGATGACGATAATGATGTGGATGCCGGTGACATCATCAGTGATGATGACGATGTGGATGCCGGTGACGTCATCAGTGATGATGACGATGACAATGTGGATGCCGGTGACGCCATCAGTGACGATGACGTCATCGGGGGGTCACGCGACATCGGCGGGGGTCACGTGACCTCGAGGAGGGGGTCACGTGACCTCAGGGGAGTCACGTGACTTCGGGGGGTCACGTGACCCCGGTGGGGGGCTCGCGCGATGCATTATGGGACATTTCCCATGATGCACTGGGGTCACGTGCCCCCCCATGAGGTCACGTGACCCCGGTGGGGGGCTCGCGCGGTGCATTATGGGACATTTCCCATGATGCACCGCGCAATTACGCCGACGGCGACGCCGACGCCGCTCAAGCCGGAAACGGGCCCCTAAGAGCTGCGCTCTAAATCAAGTTTGTAGCACGTAACTGTGTGTCTACATACTGCAAGAAAAATATAATTTAATGATGATGATAGCAAATTGCAGCAATTGGTTGCTGCGTGTGAATGTGGCCAGCTCGTGTTGCTGGTGTCGCTCAAGTTGCTGAAGAGAAATTGCTGAAGAGAAATTGCCCCGTCTGAAGTGGGCCTAACAGTGAGAAGGATCGGGGAATTGGGAATTTGGACGAAGTTCTCTTTTCAGTGCCCAATGACTTCTCAGATTTCGAAAAGGAAATCGTCAAACGGTCGAAATTACTGCGTTTGGTGTGTCACGAAATCCGGCTATGTTACATTATTCATGTCACAAAATCCGGCTGTGTTACGTTATCCATTCCCACAGGCTGGACGCGTCCTTTCAAGAAATTCGTGGGGTGTGAGGGCTGGGAGCCAGCTTCCACGAAAACGAAGCGATGCTGCCTTTGGGGAAGGATGAAGGGACGAGCGGGCCAGCGTCCTGGGTTTGGTTTCTTTTTGTTTTGTTTTCCACACCTGCGTGCTGGGATGCAGGGGCCCGTCGAGGGGGACTCTTTGGGGCAAAGGCGGGCAGTGTGAGCGGGAAACTCGGAAGCAACAGACGGGGAATCGAAGCGTCAAGTTCGTGGAGCTCGACAGTAGCGGGCCAGGTCCAGGCTGGGGAAGACTTCGACGACGAAGTGTGTGTGTGTGATTGCGCGGCCGCTTCAAGCCGCCCCACCCACCGTGGTACCACCGGGACCATTCCTTCCCCCTTCGGACAGCGCCTCGCAAGACCGTCACTCCTGGACACTGTGAGACGAGATTTCCCCTCCACTCGCACTTTTCTTTATAGTAATTAAGGTAGCGGTATTTCTGAAGTTGGTTTTTATTCTCACGGGTGTCCGATTGTATTATTTGATAACATTTAAGCTCCGAAGTTGTTATTTTTTTTCCATATTCGGGGAAGCTCCCGCATAAGAGATGGTTAATGCATTGGTACTAAACTGCAGATTTTGGTTTTTGACTATAATTCGTTGTGTGTTGAGTGTTTTTATCTTCGCCGCCCGTGCACCGGCCAGATAAAGTGCATTTCAATCCTGTTATTTTCGCTGTTCGGCAGGTTTTATTTTTTTGTTTGTTTGTAGTATTAAAACTTGTTTTGTTGCAAAGCTGTGGGTCTCCACTTCATTGGCAAGATTCCACCGTGGCATGGACCTATCACCTGGTCGGCAGTCCTTTGTGTTTCAACAGAGAATATCAGCAAGCCTGTGACAAAACTGGCGTCTGCGACAGGACCTGGCTGACCATGGTGAAGACTTGCCTTTGGAGAGCTGCGAGTAAAAACCGCGTAGTTTGAAGGAAGTGTAGTTCCGCAGTTTGCCCAGTGGCAAGCTTGGGTAGGTCAGAAATGGAGATTGGAAGACTCGTACCAAACTAGACTTCTCGGGAGCCGAACTAAAGAAGTGGACAGAGGAAGAGAGTGCCAAACAAAGAGAGGAGAGAGCCCTAGAGCGACCAGGGAGGCTACCGAGCGGGCACAAGAGGCGGCGAAAGCAGCCGCCGAGAGGGAGCTCGAGATACTGAGGCTGAGGCTAGAGCTTGAGAACAAGAAGGAGGGGAACCGCTCATCCGGAGCAGGAACTGACGGCAAGGGTCAGAGCGTTCTGAAATTGAGTCCGAACAAGCTCTTACTCGCCTTCGACGAAAGAAAGGACGACCTCGACGCTTATATAAGGTTCGAGGGAATCGCCTTAAGCCAAAAGTGGCCAGAGAGCCAACAGGCCACCGCCCTAAGCACGTGCCTCACGGGGGAAGCCCTCAGTCTGTGTGGGCGATTGCCGCCCGTAGATGCAGCCGATTACGGCAAAGTGAAAGCCTCACTGCTCAAGAGGTTCTGGTTCACCGTTGAGGGCTTTCACGATAAATTCCGTGATGGGAAGCCAGTAGATGGAGAAACGGCCACTCAATACGTCGCCAGGCTCGGCCACTGCTTCGACCGGTGGGTCGGGCTGGCTGCAGTGACCAAAGATTTTGAAGGTCTCCAGGAGCTGTGCATCAAAAAGCAGTTCTTAAAGGGTAGTCATCCAGCACTGGCCATCTATTTGAAGGAAAGAAAACAGCCACATTTGGATGGACTGTTGGAGATGGCGGACCAATTTTTGGACGCGCAAGGCCATAGTAACCTGGGGAAAGCCGGGAAAAACGAAGCCGAACCCTCAGCGAAGAAAAGCAGCGAAGGGGGCGGGCCTCGAGGCCCGCTATGAGGTGCTACCTCTGTAATAAGACGGGGCATAAAGCTGCACAAAGTCGTAGCCTGTACAACACCAGACAGGTGCCCACATGTCAAAGGTGTGGCAGGAAGGGACATAAGACGGAGGTCTGCCGGGGCCAGCGAAACCTCAGGCGTCAG